CAAGGGCCCATTCCATGGACTTGGCTCTCAGGCTCTTGTCTCCCAGGGGACAATGCTCTACGTCGCAAGTCATCAGTCCTGAGAGCAATATCAAAGTTAATCCTCACTATCGTTGAATCACAAGGAATGCCACGCCCCACACACACACAGACACAGACACACAAACACACAGACACACAGAGACACAGAGACACAGAGACACAGAGACACAGAGACACAGAGACACAGAGACACAGAGACACAGAGACACAGAGACACAGAGACACACAGACACAGAGACACAGAGACACAGAGACACAGAGACACAGAGACACAGAGACACAGAGACACAGAGACACAGAGACACAGAGACACAGAGACACAGAGACACAGAGACACAGAGACACAGAGACACAGAGACACAGAGACACAGAGACACAGAGACACAGAGACACAGAGACACAGAGACACAGAGACACAGAGACACAGAGACACAGAGACACAGAGACACAGAGACACAGAGACACAGAGACACAGAGACACAGAGACACAGAGACACAGAGACACAGAGACACAGAGACAGAGACACAGAGACACAGAGACACAGAGACACAGAGACACAGAGACACAGAGACACAGAGACACAGAGACACAGAGACACAGAGACACAGAGACACAGAGACACAGAGACACAGAGACACAGAGACACAGAGACACAGAGACACAGAGACACAGAGACACAGAGACACAGAGACACAGAGACACAGAGACACAGAGACACAGAGACACAGAGACACAGAGACACAGAGACACAGAGACACAGAGACACAGAGACACAGAGACACAGAGACACAGAGACACAGAGACACAGAGACACAGAGAGACACAGAGACACAGAGACACAGAGACACAGAGACACAGAGACACAGAGACACAGAGACACAGAGACACAGAGACACAGAGACACAGAGACACAGAGACACAGAGACACAGAGACACAGAGACACAGAGACACAGAGACACAGACACAGAGACACAGAGACACAGAGACACAGAGACACAGAGACACAGAGACACAGAGACACAGACACAGAGACACAGAGACACAGAGACACAGAGACACAGAGACACAGAGACACAGAGACACAGAGACACAGAGACACAGAGACACAGAGACACAGAGACACAGAGACACAGAGACACAGAGACACAGAGACACACAGAGACACAGAGACACAGAGACACAGAGACACAGAGACACAGAGACACAGAGACACAGAGACACAGAGACACAGAGACACAGAGACACAGAGACACAGAGACACAGAGACACAGAGACACAGAGACACAGAGACACAGAGACACAGTGACACAGTGACACACAGACACACAGACACAGAGACACAGAGACACAGAGACACAGAGACACAGAGACACAGAGACACAGGGACACAGAGACACAGAGACACAGAGACACAGAGACATAGAGACACAGAGACAAAGAGACACAGAGAAACACACAGAAACACACAGAGAAACACACAGACACAGAGACACAGAGACACAGAGACACAGAGACACAGAGACACAGAGACACAGAGACACAGAGACACAGAGACACAGAGACACAGAGACACAAACAACAGAGACACAGAGACACAGGGACACAGAGACACAGAGACACAGAGACACAGAGACACAGACACACAGACACGCAGACACACAGACACACAAACACACAGACACACAGAGACACACACACACACACACCGCACAGACACACACACACACAACACCCACACACACACACACACACGCTTCTTCAACACAATCTCAAAAATTGTTTGTTGTAAGTATTAAACAAATTTCAGCTTGCCTATTCGGCCCCTGAGTTGCATCTGTGCGAAATCCCGGGCTGGGCGATACAGCTGAGAATTGTCCTTCCAAGCAGATAGACATGCATGGGGTTCTCGCAGTTTGCGGCTACACCAACCACTGCAATGTGAGAAATGCTTGCTCATAGTTGGGCCTCTTGAGACTTCGTATGTACTGTACACTTGCCCTAAGGACCTAAAATGAAAGGTAGCCCTTTTGTAGCTATCGAACAAGGCAGCCATGTATAAACAAAAGGCCAACAGGTCGCCGTTGTTGATAACCAAGCCGAGCGTGACGTGGCCACATGCAGCCATGGCAACGAAGACACTTTGTTGCTCCGAATATTTCACGTGCCGATGTGGACGCCTTGTTTGGGGAAACCATGTTGTGCCATCCCGAAGGGAAAAACTCCTGGGGGGAGAGGCTTGTCAAAGGTCGAATTGGAATTGGCAATGTGGGTGTCATTTGTAATGAAAAACACCCTTCAAAGTGGGTGGTGGACTTGAATCCCCACCGAACTCTGTCACAGCCATGTCTTTCACAGGAAGTCCTCACGACAGACACGCTGAAAACCCCTAGCCAGGACCCAAAACGTCCCCGACTTTCAGTTGCCCAGTTGCCACGCCACAGCTCTCAGGGAGAAGGTCTCATAGAAGAGCGCGACTGTGGGAACCTGAGCTTTTCGGATAGATCCTCCTGGCTAAATGCGGGGATCTGGAAAACAAACATCTTGCAGTATAAGCTACTGAGCCCCCCCCAACCGCAACTGATGGCTGTTGGCCAGTAAGACCCAAGTGGGACTCAATTGTTGGGTGCTTGTTTGGGCCTGTGACAAAAAAGGAGCTTTTTGGCCAAGGAATCAAACACCGCGGCACCTGTGCAAAGTCTAATGGATATAGCTGGGTTGCTTGGGAAAGCAACGCTACGAAGGCAAGAGACCGGCGAAAGTCCGACGTTTGCCAGCTGAACCAATACAAGCTCAATATGAGTGTATCAAACAAACTGTTCATTGTCGGTGTCATTACCTAAGGCCATCCATCTCTCAAGGGGTCGCTAGTTGAACGCCATCACCCCGAGCGGCCACTCGAGAACCTCTCTGGTTCTCACTTCGCGATATCCAAGTAAGCATCACCAAGAATATCGTTCCCATGCTTATTGCAGGCGCGGCCAAACACAGTTGGCGCATCCTTTGGGTCGCCCTCGGGGAACATCGCTTAGCCCTTCTGTGGAGTCCCATGCACAATCATTAGATGTCACGAGACATGGTGAGAGCTGGGCATTGTCAAATGTGTCAGCTCCTGGTTGATCCAAAAAGCGGTGTGCACACCGTGTGCAGCCACAATAATGGAGCCCATAGTTGTCTTACCGGACAATGGTGTACAACATGGCAGACTTCCTAGGGCTGCCTATGGCGGTGAACGAAAGCAAGGCGCCTTTTGGCTAAGGCCTTGTAAATCTCCAGGTCAGTTCTTGTTTGGGTTGCCGATTCGCAGGCCAGTTGGCCAGCACCGCACTGTTGTCCTTCGTGAGGGACGACCAAACTACCAACAAATACAACAAACAAGCAGTTTTCCCCCTTGCAACTGGACCCCTTGGTGCGGCTTCCGGGGGGGTTCATGAGATACTTGTTCCCAAGAAAGATGGGCCGGAACCAGGCATCTCCAGTTCATAGATGCTCCGAGCAATCCTGGCCTTCGCTGTTGAGCTGACAAGCAATCCCGGCCCAACTTTTGGCGTTTTCATCGCAAGGCATACTTCAGGTTGCGGCTTGGATCCGTTGAACCCCGTTTCTTGCAGCGAATGGGTAACCACCAATCCAAACCGCAAGCGAAGCAGTGGGTGCCTCGCTCCGATCACAAACTGCCTGGGGCCCCAGCGATCACGGTGCCCAGGAAGACCCAGGTTGCATTGGCAGTTCCTCATGGGCGAGCATTGCTTTCGGCCATGGCAAGGAACGTGGGTCCCTGAAGGGAAACCAAAGACAAACCAAAGGCAAACCCAGTTTTCTACAAGGCGTTGATCATCTTGAGGCTCGGCGAAACCTTGGCAAATAACAACCGTGACATGTCACCGGAGGCAAACTGCGCACACGATCTGAGATTACAGTTTTCCCAAATAATGCAAGTAGACCAACCAGATGCTCAACGAAGGTAAGAATCAACCGCACCTCTCCAACCCCACAAAACTACGGTACAGCACACTGCATGGCGCCATGCCTCGAAACCATGTGGCTGGTCAAAAACAGGTACCCAAAATGGAACTCTGGTAAATGGAACCAAGGAAAACCTGTGGTCCCCTGGTGGTTTAATTTCGACCCATACCCATGTGCAATGATCCGCTCCTGTCAGCACACCTCGCAGGTGCAAGATCACCAAGAAGAGGGCCAGCGCCTGGACCGGTCGGCATAGCATGCCTCTTGTTCTTTTAGGAACTGCAAAACAAATCCCAACCTTTCTCTAAAAGGCATAAAGTCCAGGAAATCACGGAGTGAGACGTAGCTTCCTTCGCTGGGAAGGATCAGACACCAACATGAGAAGCGACTTGCTCCGGAATCCTGAATTCCGGTATGCAAACTGCTTCGAGGTGCGTCCCCAAGTGGAGCTCACCCCATCATGGTTGCACTCAGTCAGGAGTCGGTAGTAACTAATGGAAGGGACAGTCGACTAATCTAACGTCAGACTCATGGATGCGAAACTGCTCAAACAACGTTAGCTAGCACGCCTGGATTTCTGTCACTTGGCGATGGTTTCCAAACGTGCCCCGTGCCACTGTGACTGCGACCCATGCTCCCAAGCGGATGAGGAAAATTGGTGCTTTCGGTCCTGCTTGTGGCCCCAATGTCGGACCCGAGAGTGACAGGTATTGACAATATAGTATCTTCTCCCTAAAAGCAAATACACCCGCCCCCTGCCGGCAAAAAGGTCTGCCTGGGGACGAAACAAGATTTATTAGTAGAGTACAGTGGTACTCGGGCCTGCTACGGACCTTCCGAAATGGGGTCCTGGCAGCCCAAAACGGGCAGCTGTCCCTTGCTTTCCTAAAGGCATCCGCTGCAAAAAGACCCGTAGTCCTCCTGAGAAGGTCCCAACACTGCCCCCGAATCGCACAAGACCCGGGCTGTCAGGTAAAGCTCCGCCATGCGGGTGTCAGCGATCCACTGCCTTAGAGCATTCGGCCAATTTCAGCAAGTCTCAAGCCAAGGCCAACATTTCCGAAAGCAAGAAGGACACAAGGGGCAGCAGCGCCTTGGCTGCGCGAGCAGAAGCAATCGAGACCCCAGCCACTGATCGGGGTAGATCTTCTGCACGGTATCGTACCATCCAGGATCCTGCCGACTTCCCCCCCCCTCAAGCCTGCGGAACCAAAATATCAAGTGGAATGCCCAAACTCTGCTACTGTGAATCTCCAAAACAATTCAAGGCATTTGGGCCAGATAAGCGGGAATCGTGCAGCTTCCTATGCAAGAGGATGTCCCTTCGAAGCCAGCGAAATCACAAGGTTGCTTTCGTCAAAAAGCTGTCTCTGGAAAGCGTCCCTCAGCTCGACATACAAACTAGAATAAACATGCCCTACGCCCAGTGACTCAATGCCATTCATACTTGATCAGTCTTGTGCTTCCCGCTACAGCCCGTCCATTGCTGTTCCTCAAGTGATAACCCCCGAATTGGAACTCTCAAAAACTGTGCAAGTATGGATTCGAGCGCATACACATGTATGTACATGTGAATGATGCATGTGTGCATGCATAGATGAAAGGATGGATGCATGGATGCATGGATGTATGGATGTGTGAATGTATAGCTGTGTGGATGTATAGATGTATGGATGGATGTCTGGATGGATGGATGGATGGATGGATGGATGAAAGGATGGATTGATGGAAGGACGGAAGGGGATGAAAGGATGGCTGGGCGGGCGGGCGGACGGATGGACAGACAGATGGATGGATGCATGGATACATATATATATATATGGATTGCATGCATGCATGCATGCATGCATGCATGGATGGGTGTATATACGTAACCTATTTGTGAATGTATGCACGCATGCATGGATGGATTGAAGGACGGATGGATCTCTATATATATATATAGCATGTGTGTGCGTATTGAGCTATGTATATATGTATGTATGTATGTATGTATGTATGTAGGTAGGTAGGTAGGTAGGTAGGTAGGTATGCGTGTCTGTATGGATGGATGGATGGCTGGCTGGATGGACCATGGATGTATGCATGACAGTATGCATGTAGCATGAAAGTATGCATGCCTACAACTTTCATTCATGCATGTATGTATGTCAGCATGCATGTACGTATGTCTGTATGTCTGTCCGTATCTCTGTATTTTTGTCTGTATGTTTGTCTGCCTTTGTGTCGGTCTGTCTTTCTGTCTGTCTGTTTAAATGCACATGTCAAAAGTTCATATACTTTTTGTCTGACAAAGACTGCGTCGCCTTCATCCGAAATGCATGTTCGCACACAAACAAACTATCCACAAAATCCGTAAGGCTCTATATGTTGCGTCTGTGTAGGGTACCCTTTTCACCCTAACGGAAATCTGAAAGGGCAATCGCGCTTTTCCGGACTGCCCCTAGTTTGGCACATACGGACGTCAAAAGACAGCAAGTGTCGGAAACATCACAGCAGGCGTTGAACATCTTTGAGGACTCACACACAAGCAGAGTTGTGTATTCATACGCCAAACCGTAGGAAATTGCTTGGCAAATTATTGTTGTGCGATTGATGAGCGCAATATGGAGGGCAGGGTCATGCACTGCCAAAACATTGATGTAAAGCTTCTGTTGTTGCATCATGTTCACCCCTTTGCTTTCGGACTTGAAGCGTTTCTACCATCGTCAGCTGATGGGATGACAGTTTCACTTGCCTACGACTCCACGAAACGTTTGGGCTCGGGAACCCGGTCACAAGTTGCCGGCAAGTGAGACTCACAAAGCGCTTGACCCAGAGGAATCAAAGCCAGTGCGTGTTCCTGGCCGTTTGGGGGGTGAAAGCCAATGTGGGGTGCTACATGGTGGTAAAGGCTGGTAGAGTTGATCACTATCCCAATTGAACCACGTATTGGAACTGGCGACGAAAGTTGCAGGGGTTTTGGGCGCTCGAATAGGGTGCTCCCATGGAGCCTGGGAAAAGATCCAGTCATGCTGAAAAAGGAAAAAGACTCCCTACATTGGATGGGACTCGGGGCGACAATCCTGGCTTGTGCGATCTTTCGGGCCCCCAAAAGGGGACAAACAAGGGAAGTTGCGCTCGTTGCAAGGTGCCCGAGGCATGCCCCAGATCAGCTCCTCCATCATTTTCCAAATGTGGCCCACCTCACGAAGCAGGGCTTGAGCAAACCAAAGGATGAGGGGTTTGCAGCAAAATCCGAGCCAACATCCCCATCCAGGAAAAGTTAACATGCTCTAAAAAAGCTGCCTATCTGGCTTACTAAGTTCTTTCAACACAGGAAAACCTTAAGCATCATGAGATTCCTGCCTATGCCCAAAAAACACCGGGAAGCTTCTCTTTGGGCAGAACGAACTGGGATAACACGCTCGGTTCCCGAGGAGCCACACACAGATTTCCGCGGACTCGGTTGCAAATACGGACTTGCTCGAACAGGGTCTACCTCGGGTCTTTTTACTTGTACTTGGACCCACTAAAATGCACACGCATATGAGCCGCATATGTGTATATGTACATAATCATGGCTCAACAAGAGGATTCGTAGGCATTTGTAGCATGTTGGGTTTTGTGAATTGCTCAAAAGCAGTAAAACTGCTGTTGTCGCATCATCTGTCATCTGTCGTCCAACTTCCTTCTATGCTGCAGTGTTTGCATTTAGCTTCTAGGTACGTGTTGAAGCCTTGTATGTTCAAGCATGTTCTCAATACCGAAGTCACCGAAGTCCAAAAGAAGTTTAGCTTAGTGTATTCCAAAAACAACATAGGACATAGGCGGAATAGGCCCAACTCTGCACGGCCGGGCCTGGAATTAAGATCCGGGCAGTGAGACCATGGACAAAGGTCAAGCTGCCAAGGCCCAAGGCGAAGAAGGGCCGGAATCGGCCCTCCTGCGATTGAAGCGCAGTTCTTCTACAAGAACACGCCATAAACTAAAAATGGGACACGTTATGATATGCCTTTTGGGTGTCAAAACCATAGAATTAGACCATTGTGAGAATTAAAACGAGTTGCTTCGGTATTTCGCCAATTTCTGGCTGCACACCTCCCGCAGATCTTCGGCGCAAAGAGCAATCTTCACCACCTACTTTTATCGCAGGGTCAAAAATGCTTGAAGGCGGGAAGGGGGCACAAACCACTGCAAGGTTGGAGACTGGGGAGAGTCGACAGGAGAGGGGTGGAGGGAAGCTCCGAAGCGATTTATCTTGTGAAGGAGCCTTCTGGCAGAGTCTTGCGGGATGGTAGCTGGAAAGATCCACCACCACGGCCGGCAGCCACTGACCCCACTTTCCCCGAGGGAGTCCCAAAGGCCGTTCAACGCCAGGTTGGGGAATGCCCCCGGCTTGCCCAACAATGGGGTGCTCCAGGAGTAGTTTCGAGTTTCCTCTGAGAATACGGCGTAGTGTGAGTTCCATGTCAGCGGAATCAGAAGTGGGCCAAGGGATCCGTCTTACGAAGGCTTGCAAGGTGCACATGGTGCACGCAGCACGCCCTGCCGCTCCTGGATGTGTCGAAAGATCCGGCCCCAGTGGTAGCCTCAGATTGGCAGAAGCCGACGGATAGAGATGGGCACACTGAAGCCAGCTGAATCTGTTTTTGACGCGTCTCTAGTTTTGACACAGACCCACTTGATGTCAGAGAAGCCAACATGGAGAATCAAGGCTGCGTGGCAAACTGATTCAGCCACATGGAAGCTTGTGATTGGCCCTCTCCCCTCAGCTGTATGCAAAGGGTGAGGAAAGCTACCAGCAAGAAATTGCTACGCAGCCCAACTGGTTGGCTGCGGGCTGTGAGCGCTTGCCAGCCTGGAACCTTCGGATAGAAATCGCCGAGCGACAAAAGCGGCCAAATGGATCTCCTGCTAAATGAACACATGTCTGCTTCGGCTGAGCAATTTAGGCAAACAACGCCCCCCTGTATAGATTGATGATTGTCGGATGCAGCATCTGCTCTAGCGTTCGAGAGCTGTCATATACATATATATATATATATCTATATATACATATATATATATATATATGTTTACATATATATATATATATATTTATATATACATATGACAGTTTCGATGCATCTGCGTCTGTTTGATGGCCTAGTTGCCTGCTTTGCCCGTCAGCGCAGTAGAGCTTGCACATGCGCAGCCGCGCAGTGCCTTTATCCAACACAGAGACAACCTGTCCTGATAGATGATTGCCGGTTCAAGTGGCGATTTCAATAACCACTGGGCCCTTTGCTATCTCGTGGCTCTCTTTCCGGTATCTCAAGCTCCGTATCCCAGGGTCGGACTTCAGTTTGGCCTCAAGGACTTTGTGGGGCGGAGCGGTTCATGGGGTTAATGCGTCCTGTCTAACCCCTCTACCTTGCGTGCCCCAAAAGCTCGACCTTGCACAAAGTGTTTTGGGTGACCATGGTGACCCGTTGAATGCGTAGCATGAATCCTCTAAGATGCTTCGGTACGAGATGGAGCCCTTTCGGACCCCGGTGAACGGGTCCCCTGATTGATGCAAACTCCTTCGAAGTGCCAAGGCGCTGTAGAAATACCCGCAGCTCAGCAGGAAAACCACAGCACCCAGCGTGTGCAGAGACTCTGCTGCTCCTAGACCAAAAGGGACATGAGCTACGGTCCAATTGAAGCAACGGTACTTGCTTTTTCCTACAGTCAATTTGGTATCACTATATTGACCGTTGCCCAAATGTCTGTTTCCGCAGAGACAGTCCCGGAAGAAGAAAGCAGCTCGACTCTTACGTCGCCCATCCGTTCTTTTGGTTTTAAGATGCATCTAGGACATGCTTCACATAGACCGCTGTCAGCCTCAAACCTGCAGACCCCCCAGTCAAAGAGGTCGACGTTACCAGGCAAATGGTATCCACAAACCTTACAGCCCCCTTAGTCGATGTCGACGCGTGGCCGCAAAATCAGCAAGGTCTTAAGGATGCCTCAAGCCCGCTACAACTGACAATGGTTGTGGAAAATCACCTTGTCTCTGATACTCTGGGTCATTCCCATGACGTCGGGTTGAAGGGCATCCCCTTGGTATCACGAGTGGAAAATGATCACCTTCACCAAGCTGACTGGCCCTCAAGAAAAACGCTCAACATCGACCCTGGTGTGTGTTGGTTGGGAGGTTCCCTCTTTGCGGTGGAATTGAAGAGGACACCAAAAGGAACTCACCTACTTGGGGGGGGTCCTCTGATTTTCACATTGTTCAACGCGTCTCCTCTTTCAAGCATGGGCTCAGGCCCGCAGCTGATGGCATGAATCAGGCTGGCCTGGCACTTTTTTCACGAGGTCTTCTGATTGCCAGGCGGCCATCAGTATAAGCGCCTCAAACATGCGGTTCCTGGTCCTGTTCTCGATCTGAGAAGTCCCGACTTGGTATGCGTTTGGTTTCTGATTGGCTGCCAAACGGGGAACCAAACTTGAAGCAACCTGAAACATAGGTCCCCGACACCCCACGTATAAAGTTCACAGAATCCAGAAGGCAATCCCTTCGCAAGCAAAACCACCTGGCAGACCAAGGATCAAAGCTATTTGATCGGATTGCTTTTTACTCACTCACCGACAAGAACCCAAGAATTGGACCTTTTCAGAGAAAGCCCGAGGTGGCTTCAACTTGCCAATCCCACGGCGTTGGCTTCGAGTCAACTCCTGCACACCTACAAAAGTTTTGATTCTAGGATATTCTAGGCCATAGTGAACCTGATGCAACTTGTGGGGGTTAAAAGTATGGCCCGGTTAACCCTCGCCTCTCGAAGGGGTCCCTTCTGACAAACCCCCATCAATACTGCACGCGGCTTAACCCAGCATTCATCCCAACTGGTGCATGTTGACAAACCCCCATTTGGGCGTGAGTGAAGTTGCGACATCATTTACCGGGTGATTCGACCGACTTGTGCAAACCCTGATAGAAAATTGATAACTTTGCACAGATGGTTTCATATGCTCCGTTTTGTTTGACTGCGAATCAACCCACCGGAAGATTCAGTTCCGCAACAGGAGCCTATGGCCTATGAGGGTCCATTCGGATTAATTAACTTGGAGGAGTGCACCAATCCAAAGAGCTTATTTCCAGTTTTGCAAGTGGAAGTGCCAGTGAATGAGAATTTCGTTTTTTGTCAAATCAACACACCAACACCGCTTGAGAAGGTTCAATATTGGTTTGGGTTTTGGGCTCGGGCGAGCCCGAACAAATGGTTGTGTTTCCTTTTGGTTTCCCACTACAACCAACCAACAGGGAGGACCCTCCAGGAAACAGACCATGTTTGTTTTAAAAGAGATCCCGAAAATTTATCTTCAGCGCTTGTAGCTCCAACACCGCGAGAGTAGGCCATAAACCTTCCCAAAAGAAACGCAGGGCAGCCACCAAAGGCCTGACGTGCGCCAGGGGTCAATTTTCTGACCTTCCCGGACTTAAACTCAGGGGTTGTTCTGCGAAAAGGGAAACCCTAGGACTTAAGTCTTCCTTGCTCCGCACTTTTGCACTTGGCATGCAAACTTCACTGGCCACTCTTTCCCTTCACCTTGGCCCCAATATCTTCAATTGTCCAGTGTCTCTGGTGAGCAATGCACAGTGTGAAGGCCCGGGCAAACTGCTGGTGCTTTTACTTACCTGAGTGGGTCAATCTGTTGAGCGACGGGAAAGTTTCGAGCGCGTCCTCCGGCAGCAAAAATACAGGAGACCCACCCAAACTCTTCTTCCATTGCCACATGTGTTCGATCAACACAATTGGCGTTCAGAGAAAGAGCAAAGGCTTGACCTATGTGTTGAGTGTCCGAGTCGCTGGCCACATACACAGTGACCACGTTGCGGTCACACTGTTGCCGACTGCTCGGAATATGTTAGCCAACAAATATAACATGGTCACACTTCCGTTTGAATTTGCCCCTCACCTTCCAATAGGAATAGCTTCACGCAGTCATCTGCGTAGGATATGCCTCTTCTTATAGCGCTGCTACAACTACTAAGCTTCAATACCTCCACCACTACCACCACTACCGCCACTACCACCACTACCACTGCCACTACCAGCACCCCCACCACTGTCACAACCAACCACCAAACTACCACCCGACTTTCGAATCCGCGCCAGGGCGTAGAAGGTCCAGCCGCAAGACGCATAGAAGCTCACCTACGCGAAAACCCCGCAAATGGAACAACGCCCTCCAAGAACCCGGCAACCCAAGGCGCTTGGTCCAAAAATGATGCTTCTGACTCTGGCCCATGTTTTGTCTCAGCCGTAAAGTCTAAAATAAATTCAACAAAGATCCCAGCTGACAAGTAAGATGCCTATGACGCAAATTCATAGATCCCAATTGTTGAGGGTCCAAAGAAAACAGTCACCAAGGTTATGCTCGAAGCATCCGCCATGTCATGTGGGTTGTGCGAAAAAGACGTGTGGAAAACAAGCAAACTACAAGCACAAGCCTGCTTTGGGGCAGCATCGGTCACGTTCCAATGTGGGCAACGGGGCAATGTACACGTTCCAGATTGGGTGGTGCCCAGACATTCCACATAATGAAAAAGCCCCAGCCGACATTTCTAAACGAAGCTGGTTCAAAGACAATTAAACTGTACGCAAACAGCAGGACCAAGGAAACCAAGACAATGAGATAGGGTGTGCTTGACAACATTAAACAGAACGGGCCCTGGGCTTACTGTACATTTGCCTCTCACTTGGCCAGGGTCTGTTTCTGTTGGCAGTTCAACTCTGCCAGCAATCCTGCAGATGGCCACACACAGCCGCATCAAATGCCATGGAAAGGATGGTCTTCCTTGCTGAGCCTTTCAGATCAAAATAGCACGAGGCAAGCCTCTGTCGTGTGCGTGTCCACACATTGGAAACATGCAGGGGCCATGTCTGCAACGTTGCGCAAAACGTCGTAGCCGCTTAAAGATTGCGCTGCCCGGTCACCGAGGACCACGTTGGAATAATCATGAAGGAGCCAGCAATATGATATACATATATATACAGAGAGAGAAAAAGAGAGAGAGAAAAACTAGATGTATTCATATGAGGGCTCGGGCATTGTCTGATAGCAGCCGCTTTCAAATAAAGAAACACTGCGGAACAATGACCTGGCCCATCTACCGTACGCATCAAAGTGTATCTTGCAACCTAGCCAGGTTGCCCCTATAGATTCGGAAGCTTTGGGTGTATTACCTCAGCAACAATTGAGCTCGTGGCATTCCTGAGCAAAAACATACATGGTGTTTTGCTGCCAAAGTGCGAAGTCGAAGTATCGGACTGCGGGACCATAGCTCAACACACACCCGCCAAAACTTCAAGGTGACAAAACGGGTTAAGGATCAACGGCGGCTGGAATCAAATAAATCAACGGCGGCTATCTTGGGAAAGCCGCATCTTCTAAAAGACGACAAACACGATTCCAGGATAGATGCAGCAAAGGAGCCTATCGTTCCAGCCGCAAGTTCCCGGACGGATGCTAAAGTACCCCCTCGACAATGTTTTGTTCAAAAGGGCGTGTGTTTCTGTTGAGGGTACCCCGGCCAAAAACGGGGTGACTGAAAGCGAAACCAAACGACAATCGCTATCGCCGCATGGGACATAGTCTAACAAGTAGCGGCAAAACAACACGGATGCCAGGGTCCTTTTGCCAAGTTTGGCATCCCTCCATGCGGAATAATGTGCTTACCACTTCGAGAAGGATATCCATACATATGTCCAACTCTGAATACTTTGCTCTTTGCAACCCCAACTGCAAATGGACAACAAATGCAAACATACTACAACAACACAGTACCCCCAGCTGCACAGTGACTCTGGTCCGTTTCTGTTGATGGTGTTTGGTCGGTCCCGAACCGACCAAACTAGAAGGGAAAAAGGGTTCTGCTTTGCACCACTGGCTGCCAGTAGTCTGAGGACCATGCCTGATAGTGCTTCTCCATCTTCCGCACCTCCTGGCCATCGAACAGCAGAATGCGCCGGTTGCCGTGTACATCTGTTCGATTTGGCCGACAAAGGAATGGATGAAAGGTGTCCAAGTTGAGAACTGCGTACTTCACCACAAGGCGGCCACACTTACGCAATATGAGAACCTGTGTGGGCAAAGCCAGGGCCGCGCTTCCTGGCAACAAACTATCCCGGCGCGCCTCAATGCGAGAAGCGTACAAGCCCAGGTAGATGAACACTGCGACCAGCGCCTCAGGATCGGAATGCGGCAGTTCGCTTCGCCCAGACTGAGCGGACGGATCGACATCTAAACTGTACTCCTCCTTTCACAAAGGCTAAAGGAAGCGTTGAAAACTGTGATCCCTTTGCGAGCCCCTCAGGTTGTATGAGTGCTTCTCTCTGCTCTAGCATAATTAGATCTGCCGCATGTTGCCGTTCGTGGTATGCCGCCAGTTTTCCGGAGAGGAGATGTTGCCTAAAGCGCAAGCCTACATCCTGCAGCAGGCCTGAATGAAAAGCCAAAAATGGCCCCCTCAATCGCAGGAATCCGTGTCATCCCACCATCATCCCCCGAAGAGCGGAACTCAACCGAACTGAACAAACAAACTTGATGAAAGTGAATCCAAGAACGGCACGGTAGAACCCTGGACCAATAAACCAAATAGTTGGAGTATGCTAAGTGTGCGCTGGCCAACCTTCATGTGAGCTATGACCTGGCTCTCACTACCAACAATCCAAGTTGTCTAGACTCCCTTAGAGGTTGATGACCATCCCTGCCAACCCCAAGCAAAGGAATCAGCCCTTCCTGCCAAGGCATGTGCTGAGTTGCGGACCAAAACTATCGTTTTGCCTTGAAACCGATTCCTCTTGAGGCGACTTCAAATTTTGATGTCAATGTGTTAATGTTTCACACCAGCTCACCGTGCAACGCAGATTTTGTTGACATCGCGGGATTCGATAACGATCCTTGGTTGCCAAGCAGGGAAAGGTCAACAGGTACATGTATGCACGAAACTATTCTCTGGACAAGAAAAAAACCGACCTATCGTGACTCACGTCGGCTTCTGTCGGTTCCCCGAGGCGGCTTAGGTTATAGAGTTTGTTTGTCATCACCTGGAAAGGCCACAACCCATCATTGAGGAGGCCCTATAAGTTTTTTTTTGTTTTTTTTTTTTTTTTCTGTTGAAGGGGTCACAAGGTTGAACTGAAACTCAAAAGACCGTGGGGCGCTTGATAGGTGTCCGTTTCAAGCAAACATCGAGTGAAGCGAAATAAAGGTACATGTCAAAAGGCATCCTTGAAACCTGCTGAATTGCGCCCTTGCGTGCAGCGCCCAAAACCCATTGACTTGTGGAACTGCAAAGAGAAGTTTCTAAGCTGATAAGGTTTCCATATCCCTCGAAAACCAGCTTTGCCTTGCCGAGGAGGTTTTGGGCGCTGCTTCTTTCTTGCATTCTTGCAGCTCAGTCGAGTGATTTGTGGAAGCCAATCGGTGTTGCCGCAGTGCGGGGGTTCAGGGGTGCGGGCTGCGCATTAAAGGCCGACGCCCTAATCGAAAGCGAAAGGAAGCCTTGCAGCCTGCAGCCACGCAAAATACTTGACAGCTTTCTAAAAACTCAAGATGCGGTTGTCAACTCTACTTGTTGTTGCCACTTCACAACAAAGTGGACATCGGCGGAATAATTTATGCTGGATTGGTAGATTCCCGGTCGCCGAGCACAAAGCTTGGAAGAGGTTTTAGCCAGGATGTAGCCAGGAAGCCCTTCCTTCAATACTGAATACGCGAGCCCCCGGCAGAGTTAGCGGCATTTTTTTTCCGTTTGACTTCGTTACGGCGATTCCCACCGCACCTCGGTGGAGCTCGGCTTGACAAGCCCGAAGAAGCGGAACATGTCGAAGGCCTGGCATCTTTGGGCTGTGACGAAGATGGCACGATGTCCCGTGTATTTGGTAATCCTTGTTGAACTACGAGAATAGACATCCAGGGCCCCTAACCCTTTCAACCAACCACCCACATTCACCGTTTGTGTGCCATGTTCTTGCAGCCACCTGCATTGGAGTTCTGGGCGAAACCAGAACGGGAACCCAAATCAGGAAGAGAATCATACCCAAATAACCGCTTGGCGCTTGTGGACACTTGCAAATAACAACCAAGCTCGTACGCCTAATTATTTTCTGGAAGTCGCTTCACATCGGTACAAAGTGACAGATACTACTGTAGCTGGTGCTTGGTGCTACCTGCTCATGATTCATACCAAACAAAAACACAAAGCATCCAGGTCAAGGCGAAGCGCCGAATCGCTGAGGGGGAAGTGTCAGTGGCCCCAAGCTCACCGCTTCTGTTTGTCTGTTGCCCAGTGGTCAGCGGACAGAAGGTGTAGCTCTAAGGGTGCCAGCTTCAGATAGTTCTGAACCAACGCAGCCACAGGGAAAAAACGGGCGTGGGGCTCACATCTCAAACTGCTCATGTTGCTTAAGGTGCCACTTGTGAGCATATCCAACCATTGATCTCCTGGCACCAGAATTTGCCAGTCCAAAACATCAGACATCCATCCAATGAACCGCCAGTCACTGAAACATCACAAGCAACGGAAGCAAACCAGGACTGTTTCAGTGGCGCCAGCCCAAGACCCCTGGGCAGCGTGCATAGAGTCCTGTGGCGGCAGCGGCCCACCCAGTCCTTGGATCAAAACCCAGTTCTCCTTGGGGCAAACAAAAAAACCAAAGAAGATCTGGGTGTTTTTGTTGAGGCCAAGGAGAACAAAAGGGAAAACCGCCAATTTGGAGGGTCCCCTATTTTGAGAGAAAACCCTATTGTGCTTGGGGTGCATAGTCAAAGCTGCTCGTTGCGAACACCAAGCAGGCCGCTCCATCTTGTCTTCCATTGGCTTTACACACACACACCTCTCAACATGCTCAGAACGGCTTTCATCCGGCTTTACCTTTTTGTTCGTGTGGGTCCCGGGTTGACCCCATCAACTGAATAATGGCCATGAGGAAGCCATGGAGCTGATGAAACTCGCAGGGGACTTGTCTGCATGACCCGAAGGGTAGGAATCCCGGACATCTTTCCATTCCTTTGCACCTCTGTGAGCACTGTGAGCATGGCACAAAATGATGGGAGCAAAGATGGAGTTGCCAATGTTCCGGAGGCCACAAATCAGGAACGCCAAAGAGCTAGTGAGGCGGCTCCACATCCGAGCAATAGGCCGCAGCTCAAAACTGCGAACCCTCCAACCGACCCTTTCGATGTGCCCAAAACTGTGTTTGGTCCGAATCGGGAGTATTTCTAGGCAATACCTCGTGGGAGCTGGGGGGGAGGGAGCCCAAATGAGCCCTTATTATGCCCTCAATAAGGCCGTATTTAGGGCCTTTTTAGGGTCCCTCCCCCTCCCCTCCCTCCCCCCCCCCCAGCCCCCATGAATACCGGCACATTGCACCAGAGAGGCTTGAAAAGCATTTCCTGTCCGACTCGAGTCCAGGGGGCCCCGGCTGCGAGTGTAGCCATTCCAGCTGGCCAATGTCTTGCTCCTGCGAGATTCCCCAGGGTCGAAGTAGATGGAACTAGTCCCCTAAGATCCTATGAGAAAACCCTGACGAGAAAACGAGGCGAAAACAAAATCCCGGTGCAAACAAAGGTGATCAGACCTAAATGGAGAGGTTGTGCCATCTACTATGGAGCGCGAAACCTTTCGAGTCCTCCAAAAGCAAGAACCTCTAAAAGTGCATCATTGTCGGTGTAATTCCGCGAAGTTTTTGTACGGGAGTCAGAGCAGGAGATAAGTAAGCGTGGTAAACAATATCCCTGGGTCAAAACTGAACTTGATTGAATCCCATCCACTTCCGTTCCACTGCGTGCTACTTGCACTGTCTCCTCCGCTAGCTTCTGAAAGGGATAAAAGAAACACCTTTTGAGTCTGTGCATGTTTAACAGCTTCACTGCGTTCATACAACATGTCGCTAAATCCGCGGCCAACTTGGAGTTGGACCATCCGAGGTCGGGAAATTCAAGTGGAATCCTAAATAAAGTGCCACAATTGCCTAGCCGTGAAATGTCCAGTTCCGTGGCAGCATTGGAGATTGGCCCAAATGAGTCGCCGCAAGGTGTTTGGCTTCCATGTTCGTTTGCCCCTTCTAACATCCCAACCCAGCCGGCAATGGCTCCTCCACATCCAGCCATGCTGGGTTATAGCTAGCGTCTAGTTGCCGCAGCCCAGATGCTACCACCACCTACGCAGCCGGCAACGAATCTGCATAGTCTCTTCTCTACTTTGCCTGCACCAAAAACCGCTGTGATCCAACGGTCCATATTGAACCTCAAAGGTGCCCAAGCTGGCTACAAGTAGCTGACTCGGTTCCCTTGATGTATCCCACAAAAAGCAGACTGACGTTGAGCGGGATTTAACTGACTCGCTTACACAGGCAGGGATACCTAGGTTAGTCGAGATGTGTCAAATGCCCGAAGATGGTGCTTTTGGGCAATTAGTATCTCTGAAATAACGCAGGAAAATAAAAGGACTCCCACCAAGAGAATGGTGTGAGATCTTAACACCACGCTTGCGCAATTTGGATTGTCCTCATGGGGCCAGACATGTGGTATTGACTCCCATCAATCCAGACTTTCAAGGAGTAGGTTGCTTCTTCCGACAATTTTAATTACCCTTGTGAACCCTTCGAAATGTCTTCCTGTGGTGCCTTTCCCAACTCTCCAGTAGTTTCCAGGTGAAACCACCGACAAGGATCGAGCAGGCGTCGCTTTTGGCATCACATCCACGGAATCCAACGCAAGCCACCCAAAGCTCTCCTCCTCTTCCAGCCCAAAATGGGGCTCCCGCCACTTTTTGGGAGGCAATTGTTGGACTTCCAAGTGCCTGGGGGCTGGCATGAACAGCTCGGACAAACGCTCAGGTCGAGGCAAAGCGCTGTCTCTTAGCTGCCTGGGAGCAGGGCAGTACAATTCCGATGTCCGCTCACATGACATACCCAGCGTGGGGAGTGGTTCGCCAACTGCTTCCGCCTCCTCTCTTTGGGAAGGGCAGGAGATTCCCGGTTTCATATTCTTCGTCCCGTTCTCCTGAGTCGCACAGCAAACATCTTGATGAGGAAGCGCCAAGTCATCTGTGGATGCAGGAGCCACTGCTTTGGAAGCATAAGCCACTGTTGAAGGTGCACAGTCCGTTGTGGATGCATGGGCGACTGCTGTGGAAGGAGACGCTGCTGCTGTAAACGTAGCACAAACTATTTCTGAAGCCGTTGTTGGAGATGCAGTGGCTGTGTGCGCTACAGGTGTTGAATCAGCTAGCATTACACGGCTTGGGTGGGCAGCCTCTTGCACATCCAAGTTGTAGTGAAGCTCCGACCCACCCCCTGGCTGTGGTACCATAACATGCCCTTGTATGACAGCAGGTATCCATTGGCCGGTGGTGCGTGACAAGTAGCGTACATGCTCGCCAAAGCACAACACCCCAGCTGGCTGTTGGGTTGTGGATTGCTGGGCTGTATCGGGCAGCATCGTTTGTTGCAAAGCCAGCACAGCTGAATGCTGTAAGCTTGCATTTGGTATGGCAGGCGCTGCGTTGGTCGCTGTAGCAGGAGGGGCATTCGGTGAAGATGCAGTGGCTACGTGCACTGCAGATGCTGAATCAGCTGGCATCACACGGCTTGGGTGGGCAGCCTCTTGCACGTCCAAGTTGTAGTGAAGCTCCGACCCACCCCCTGGCTGTGGTACCATAACATGCCCTTGTATGACAGCAGGTATCCATTGGCCGGTGGTGCGTGACAAGTAGCGTACATGCTCGCCAAAGCACAACACCCCAGCTGGCTGTTGGGTTGTGGATTGCTGGGCTGTATCGGGCAGCATCGTTTGTTGCAAAGCCAGCACAGCTGAATGCTGTAAGCTTGCATTTGGTATGGCAGGCGCTGCGTTGGTCGCTGTAGCAGGAGGGGCATTCGGTGAAGATGCAGTGGCTACGTGCACTGCAGATGCTGAATCAGCTGGCATCACACGGCTTGGGTGGGCAGCCTCTTGCACGTCCAAGTTGTAGTGAAGCTCCGACCCACCACCTGGCTGTGGTACCATGACATGCCCTTGTATGACAGCAGGTATCCATTGGCCGGTGGTGCGTGACAAATAGCGTACGTGCTCACCAAAGCACAACACCCCCGCTTGCTGGGGCGCTTTCTGTGGGGCAGCGGCGACAGCGTGGCCATGCTGCATTGCAAAGCTTGACACACGAGTTCAAAGCCGCATCAGACTCGTCCCTACTCAAATAGTTGATTCTCAAAACCCCAAAGACTTAAAGCAATGCCTGCTACATGCTGAACGTCTCTTCAACCAGCCTGTCACCGGCGGGTGTTCTTTTTGGTACATGCCACCGTTGATCATTTCCACAATTTACAATCCACCGAAGAAATGCCCCACGTATGAACATCCGTCTCGAAAGCTATCTTCTGGAAAATGCGAAACCTACAAACCTGCGGCCATGGAGAACGGGGAGGCTCGGGAGCCGTTAAACCAGCAAGCTTGCTGGGTATAGAAATTCAGGGACCTCTTAGTTGGCATAGTTACATGTGGCATCATGTCCAAAAATCAGATTGGAGGTCGCTCCTCTTTTAACATCATCCCAAGCCAGCCAGTGTCTTGTCTTTATCATTTGCCACAAATCCCACACTGCCTAAGACTATTTTCTGCTGACCACTTTGCAAGAAACCTGACATCTGGGAACTGCAAAAACAAGGAGCTCTCCGTCAGATTCCGCGCGGCCGGTTGTCTTTCTGCCCGGGGTAGAAAAACATGATCCGTTGAAAGTCACGATCGTCCAAAACTCACAAACATCAGTTTGCAGCATCCCAATTCTGGACTGCGTGTTCCGTCAAAACCTACCCTTCTACATTTGGAACAGATGCTTTCATTCTGACATAGCAATCCTACATTGTAAACCATCCCAAGCAAACATGATATTGCAATCCTTGCAGTCGCAAAGCCCTCCAGGATTTCATTCTGGCCCAGGCAGGGTTGATCGCGTTCGAACTGTTCTTGCGGTTGATATCAGGATATCTTACAAGTTCCGCCGTTCGCTAGATGCAGCACATCAGTCCAGGACCCTTGGCTCTTGCCGCCCGGTGACCCTTTCCAGGTCAGTCCAGGACCGTGGGCTCTTATTCCGTGCCAATGCACTGCAAGGATCTAGGGATCACAATTGGCAAATCTAAAAGGAAAGGAGCTCCCGATATTTTGCCCAAACACATCACGCAACCAGATGGCACACGATAATGTTTCAAACAACCACAAAAGGAAGATGAGACCCTGAGTGGAGGACCCCCAAGATTTCCTATTGCAAATACTGATAGCCACAGTGCAACACTGCCACCTGCGTAATAGCCCTTCAGGTACTTTACAGCAAAAGGACGATCCAGCCCACTTGTTCTTTCAGGGGTACTCAAATTGAATCAAACTGGCTCTGTCCAGAGGATTCGCGGCAATCTCTCCGGGCAAGCTTGTCTGGTGTAGTGGCACGCTGGGTATAGAAATTCAGGGACCTCTTGGTGGGCAAAGTTACACGTGGTGTCATGTCCAAAAATCAGATTGGAGGGTGCTCCTCGTTCAAGATCATCCCAAGCCAGCCAGTGTCTTATCTTTGTCAATTGCCACAAAGTCCACACTGCCTAAGACTATTTTCTGCTGACCACTTTGCAAGAAACCTGACATCTGAGAACTGCAAAAACAAGGAGCTCTCCGTCAAATTCCGCGCGGACTGTTGTCTTTGTGCCCGGGGTCGAAAAACATGATCTGTTGAAAGTCACGATCGTCCAAAAACTCACAAACATCAGTTTGCAGCATCCCAACTCTGGACTCCGTGTTCCGTCGAAACCTACCCTTCTACATTTGGAACAGATGCTTTCATACTGACATAGCAATCCTACATTGTAAACCATCACAAGCAAGAATGATACTGCAATCCTTGCAGTCGCAAAGCCCTCCAAGATCCCATTCTGGCCCAGGCCTGGAGAGTGTCACAAACGCTACATTCGAGGGTCTGTTGGGTTTGATCCGTTCGCACTGCGTCCGAACCAATCTTGCGGATGATATCAGGATATCTTACGAGTTCTGAGAGCTCCGGTTCTATGCACTAGGATACGGGCGTGCCTTTAACAAACCAGACTGGGATCCAGGAGTTTTGGACGCTGTCACTGATGA